TTCATTTGGAAACGGAGGAAGTATATTATACTAATTAAAAAAAACTATATTTTATGTATAATTGGAAGTGGTTTTGCACCAATAAACAGAGAACGGTCCTGTCATGCTATGTGGCATGAGCTCTTCGGTCGAAGACATATTCAATCTGCTCGCGAATGGCCATGACATAGTAAACTTGCTTCGAGTGTGTCAGATATGTTATATGTGCGTTTATAAGTTTCACCTGCCACCACCCAAAAATTGTATCAACCACTTGGAAGAGCAAGTAAATGAAGCGACAATATATAGGGTCAGGTGGAAGAAATTTCCCTATAAATATAGTGAACGATCTCCAAAAATATTGATTGGAGGAAAATGAGCAAAAGATACGAAAGAAGAGAATAACAAGCCATAAGAGCATGATTAAGGGTGATACTTTAAGAGTACTATATAAACATTAATTTAGTATTAAATTTAAGAGTAATTTAATCTTTGAGACTTAGTAAGATTTTTCTAATTTTTCTATGTCTATTAGTAATACTCAACAATCACAAGTAATCACCTCATAGAATCCACCTTGACATCCATTTTGAGTGAATGTCGAAGACAAGTAAACCAAATCCTGCTTAAACTGAAACCCTAACTTCATCACATCCAGCCAAACATCAGACACATCATCCGAGTCGTGACCGAGTCGACATACGAGTTGAAGGAGAGTGACGGTCGGAAACGACGAGGATTTTCATCTTACAAAAGAAAAAACAAAAAAATTCACATCTTTAAAGATTTTGAAGAGGATCGCGAAGAAAGAGGATTTCATAGACAAAGAAAGACGGTGAGTGAGAGAGAGAATAGGAGAAGAGACAATTCAAGTGTAGGCAAGATCACGACGACGATGACGCAGTCGAATTATCGGAATCGCCATGGAGAAGATTCGAGAAAAAGTTGTTTTCGACTTTCTAAGATCTGATTCTTGGTTTGGGCCAAACAAAAAAAGGTCCAATACCAAGCTGACATGTGTCCTCAACGAACCGTATCAACCGGCTCTCTCCCTTGAAACGATTCACACGAAAATCACTTCAGTAATTAATTTTTAATCATTTTTTTTATAATATTCTTAAAGTATCAGGGTTAAAATTGCTTTAAAAGACTTCCAATAAGATCCCTATAGGAGAAGAACCTCATGAAGAGAGTTCTAACACCATTTCCCTGGAAATCACATTTATTTTTTCTTTTACACCATTCTTTAGAAATTAGACTATGTTCATGATCCTTGGATATTGCTCCAAACAAAAACCTCTTACTTACCTTCGATTAAACCAACTCACAGAGGCAGATGTTTGACTTATGCGTCGGAAAAATTTTGGGAAAAAATTCCTCTCGGTCTTCCGAAGATCGTATGGGCATGTTACTTGTCCATTGTAGCAAATATTTGAATAGCCCGCATGGCCGTCTTCCGTAAATGATGCTAGCCGATGCGCCCCTCATTTTGCCTAGTGGACGAACCACAAAAAAAATGGAGTTATTATGACGAATATTTGATACAATAATCATTCGTCACAAATTGGTGACAAAATCGATACATTTTTTGTGACCAATTTTTCTTTTTTAGCAAATGTGTAGCTAGTTAGTCACTATATTTTAACTGAATAAGTAGTAGCCAAAATATGTTATAATTGGCGACAAAAAATTTTTACCCCAGTAGCACTTGTAACAACCGTGATGATATTATTACTAATTTTGGTCATAAATTATCTACAAATTTGTGACGGAATTACAAGTCTCAATTTGTGACAACATAGTGACAAGATATTAGTGACTAATTGATTCTAATTAACAAAAAGTTTACGTTATAAATATAATTAAAAAATTGTGTAACAATTCCATCGTGATGAGTAATTGAATTTACTAACACTTTAGACCGTCAAAATTTATAACTACATAGTTGATGTAATAGATCACAATATATATACTTTTTAAGGTCAATAGAATTTGATACAAATAGTTTAGCTGACATCGACTACATATTTACTTTTCCATGTAATAAAGATGACAAAAATGAGATAATCATAAAGAAGAAAGAAAAAACAGTGGAACTATGCCCGATAATTATGCTGTCAAAACGAACGCTGATGAAGGTTTTTTTCGTAAGTATTTTTCAATAGCACCCAAAAATCTAGAATATTAGATAAACAACCCATATTCGGTGGATCCAAAATCTATCCCAAACATGTCCAATTTTTTATTATTTTTTGTGTTGTATTTTTTATGTTTGCAAAATTTTTTGTAGATGCTTCTCCTTATGTGAATTTAATATTATATATTTTTTTAAACCATGTTGGAAAATCAATGAATTTTTGTTTTTTGGTCAGCCAAAATCCGTTAAATTTAATTTTGAAAGCATTACATCTATATATATGTATTTTTTTTTTAAATGGGTTTTTGGTTAAAGAAATGAATTTTATGTTTGATAACTAAATAGGAAAAAGATGACTTAAGAGAGAAAGTGAGAAGAGAGTTAGAAGCATGTCTTTCACGTGTTGAAAGACGTAGTTAATGCCAATACATCACTAGGCAAGAGGGCAGTTCTCCCTAACCCTTTATGGTTTTCGTCGCTTTCTCACATTCTGATTTGACTCAGCCTCTCTTATATTATACAATACGCC